ACAACTTTTACCAGAAATTGTGTGATAACTTTGTTGTTGATATGCAATTAATTTTGTGGCGATTTGTTTCGGTTATCCGTCAATTTGCCTCACATGATTGAATCGCATTAGGTGACGAATCGTGAGAAATACAAATTTCCTCTCATTATGAATTTGTGGTGGACCAAACGATATATTATTTGAAATTATTAAAAAAGTTATTGAATACAATAAGTTCTATACGAAATATATCAGTTAAATGTTATGAACACAATACAAATGTATGAACGTCACTTAATGCGGCTGCTTGTAGGTGTTCGGTTGCGTTTGCTACCAAAAATCCACAATTATAGGAGATTAGTAATCCCAGTTATATGCTCCGTCGTAGAATAGGATATGAATATGACTGTAGTCTATAAATGTAGATAATATATGCATTAGAATCCAGATGACACATTATTGAGCAATGCAGAACACGGAATATGTGTATAAAGTGTATTTATTAAGAGAAGACAGAGTATGTCGTGCAACAGAACGGAAAGAGGTGAGTAGTCAACGCTACTCCTTTCCAAGGTAACACACTCAAACAACATGTGCATACATTTAAAAGTAAATGTACAAGCAGTGCAAAATTAACAGAATAAATACAAATACGTTTGTCATACACCTCTCCACAAATTGTAGCTCAATATAACAAGCTTCCTTTGCTTGCCCGAAATACATCAGTTGTGTTGAAATCGCACACGTGTGCAGGTATCATTGTAACAACTGAAGACACTCTGAATAAACTGAAAGATTGTAATGCTCATTTTATCAGGACTGTCAATTGAAATAAATATGAATTACAACTGGAAAAATCTATGAAAAAATGTAATACATATGCACCACCTAATCTAGAAGGTAATTTGTGCATATCGTATATTTTCCTAATCGTAAATCATTCTATCAACAGTCACATACTTATTGAATATTAATGACACAGTTTTCTATTATTCACAATCACACGAACTGTTATGCATATGGAAACGATGTAGGAAAGCATGAAGTGTTTTACTTATTTCAGGAAGATTTTATTGAAATATATTTCTGTGGAAGTTCTTATGATGTGTCATGTGTGATTTTCATATGGAATTGAAAATGGGATTGAAACAAGTTCACTGCGGTTCAATATAACGAAGTGGTAATTGACGGTCTATCAATTCGGACAAACAGTATTGTCAGTGTATGTATAATCCAACTATTTGGTTGAGTAAATATGTCCGCAACAACATATACCACTGTGAGATTAGAAGTTTTGTTAATCACAGTGCATTATTGCTGAAATATTTGACCTCCAAAACATTTATTTTGCATTGCAATGAGCTTCCATTTTCTAACTATGTAGGTTTAGTGACGAAACACTCTGAAACAACTTTTACCAGAAATTGTGTGATAACTTTGTTGTTGATATGCAATTAATTTTGTGGCGATTTGTTTCGGTTATCCGTCAATTTGCCTCACATGATTGAATCGCATTAGGTGACGAATCGTGAGAAATACAAATTTCCTCTCATTATGAATTTGTGGTGGACCAAACGATATATTATTTGAAATTATTAAAAAAGTTATTGAATACAATAAGTTCTATACGAAATATATCAGTTAAATGTTATGAACACAATACAAATGTATGAACGTCACTTAATGCGGCTGCTTGTAGGTGTTCGGTTGCGTTTGCTACCAAAAATCCACAATTATAGGAGATTAGTAATCCCAGTTATATGCTCCGTCGTAGAATAGGATATGAATATGACTGTAGTCTATAAATGTAGATAATATATGCATTAGAATCCAGATGACACATTATTGAGCAATGCAGAACACGGAATATGTGTATAAAGTGTATTTATTAAGAGAAGACAGAGTATGTCGTGCAACAGAACGGAAAGAGGTGAGTAGTCAACGCTACTCCTTTCCAAGGTAACACACTCAAACAACATGTGCATACATTTAAAAGTAAATGTACAAGCAGTGCAAAATTAACAGAATAAATACAAATACGTTTGTCATACACCTCTCCACAAATTGTAGCTCAATATAACAAGCTTCCTTTGCTTGCCCGAAATACATCAGTTGTGTTGAAATCGCACACGTGTGCAGGTATCATTGTAACAACTGAAGACACTCTGAATAAACTGAAAGATTGTAATGCTCATTTTATCAGGACTGTCAATTGAAATAAATATGAATTACAACTGGAAAAATCTATGAAAAAATGTAATACATATGCACCACCTAATCTAGAAGGTAATTTGTGCATATCGTATATTTTCCTAATCGTAAATCATTCTATCAACAGTCACATACTTATTGAATATTAATGACACAGTTTTCTATTATTCACAATCACACGAACTGTTATGCATATGGAAACGATGTAGGAAAGCATGAAGTGTTTTACTTATTTCAGGAAGATTTTATTGAAATATATTTCTGTGGAAGTTCTTATGATGTGTCATGTGTGATTTTCATATGGAATTGAAAATGGGATTGAAACAAGTTCACTGCGGTTCAATATAACGAAGTGGTAATTGACGGTCTATCAATTCGGACAAACAGTATTGTCAGTGTATGTATAATCCAACTATTTGGTTGAGTAAATATGTCCGCAACAACATATACCACTGTGAGATTAGAAGTTTTGTTAATCACAGTGCATTATTGCTGAAATATTTGACCTCCAAAACATTTATTTTGCATTGCAATGAGCTTCCATTTTCTAACTATGTAGGTTTAGTGACGAAACACTCTGAAACAACTTTTACCAGAAATTGTGTGATAACTTTGTTGTTGATATGCAATTAATTTTGTGGCGATTTGTTTCGGTTATCCGTCAATTTGCCTCACATGATTGAATCGCATTAGGTGACGAATCGTGAGAAATACAAATTTCCTCTCATTATGAATTTGTGGTGGACCAAACGATATATTATTTGAAATTATTAAAAAAGTTATTGAATACAATAAGTTCTATACGAAATATATCAGTTAAATGTTATGAACACAATACAAATGTATGAACGTCACTTAATGCGGCTGCTTGTAGGTGTTCGGTTGCGTTTGCTACCAAAAATCCACAATTATAGGAGATTAGTAATCCCAGTTATATGCTCCGTCGTAGAATAGGATATGAATATGACTGTAGTCTATAAATGTAGATAATATATGCATTAGAATCCAGATGACACATTATTGAGCAATGCAGAACACGGAATATGTGTATAAAGTGTATTTGATTAGGAGAAGACAGAGTATGTCGTGCAACAGAACGGAAAGAGGTGAGTAGTCAACGCTACTCCTTTCCAAGGTAACACACTCAAACAACATGTGCATACATTTAAAAGTAAATGTACAAGCAGTGCAAAATTAACAGAATAAATACAAATACGTTTGTCATACACCTCTCCACAAATTGTAGCTCAATATAACAAGCTTCCTTTGCTTGCCCGAAATACATCAGTTGTGTTGAAATCGCACACGTGTGCAGGTATCATTGTAACAACTGAAGACACTCTGAATAAACTGAAAGATTGTAATGCTCATTTTATCAGGACTGTCAATTGAAATAAATATGAATTACAACTGGAAAAATCTATGAAAAAATGTAATACATATGCACCACCTAATCTAGAAGGTAATTTGTGCATATCGTATATTTTCCTAATCGTAAATCATTCTATCAACAGTCACATACTTATTGAATATTAATGACACAGTTTTCTATTATTCACAATCACACGAACTGTTATGCATATGGAAACGATGTAGGAAAGCATGAAGTGTTTTACTTATTTCAGGAAGATTTTATTGAAATATATTTCTGTGGAAGTTCTTATGATGTGTCATGTGTGATTTTCATATGGAATTGAAAATGGGATTGAAACAAGTTCACTGCGGTTCAATATAACGAAGTGGTAATTGACGGTCTATCAATTCGGACAAACAGTATTGTCAGTGTATGTATAATCCAACTATTTGGTTGAGTAAATATGTCCGCAACAACATATACCACTGTGAGATTAGAAGTTTTGTTAATCACAGTGCATTATTGCTGAAATATTTGACCTCCAAAACATTTATTTTGCATTGCAATGAGCTTCCATTTTCTAACTATGTAGGTTTAGTGACGAAACACTCTGAAACAACTTTTACCAGAAATTGTGTGATAACTTTGTTGTTGATATGCAATTAATTTTGTGGCGATTTGTTTCGGTTATCCGTCAATTTGCCTCACATGATTGAATCGCATTAGGTGACGAATCGTGAGAAATACAAATTTCCTCTCATTATGAATTTGTGGTGGACCAAACGATATATTATTTGAAATTATTAAAAAAGTTATTGAATACAATAAGTTCTATACGAAATATATCAGTTAAATGTTATGAACACAATACAAATGTATGAACGTCACTTAATGCGGCTGCTTGTAGGTGTTCGGTTGCGTTTGCTACCAAAAATCCACAATTATAGGAGATTAGTAATCCCAGTTATATGCTCCGTCGTAGAATAGGATATGAATATGACTGTAGTCTATAAATGTAGATAATATATGCATTAGAATCCAGATGACACATTATTGAGCAATGCAGAACACGGAATATGTGTATAAAGTGTATTTATTAAGAGAAGACAGAGTATGTCGTGCAACAGAACGGAAAGAGGTGAGTAGTCAATGCTACTCCTTTCCAAGGTAACACACTCAAACAACATGTGCATACATTTAAAAGTAAATGTACAAGCAGTGCAAAATTAACAGAATAAATACAAATACGTTTGTCATACACCTCTCCACAAATTGTAGCTCAATATAACAAGCTTCCTTTGCTTGCCCGAAATACATCAGTTGTGTTGAAATCGCACACATGTGTGCAGGTATCATTGTAACAACTGAAGACACTCTGAATAAACTGAAAGATGGTAATGCTCATTTTATCAGGACTGTCAATTGAAATAAATATGAATTACAACTGGAAAAATCTATGAAAAAATGTAATACATATGCACCACCTAATCTAGAAGGTAATTTGTGCATATCGTATATTTTCCTAATCGTAAATCATTCTATCAACAGTCACATACTTATTGAATATTAATGACACAGTTTTCTATTATTCACAATCACACGAACTGTTATGCATATGGAAACGATGTAGGAAAGCATGAAGTGTTTTACTTATTTCAGGAAGATTTTATTGAAATATATATCTGTGGAAGTTCTTATGATGTGTCATGTGTGATTTTCATATGGAATTGAAAATGGGATTGAAACAAGTTCACTGCGGTTCAATATAACGAAGTGGTAATTGACGGTCTATCAATTCGGACAAACAGTATTGTCAGTGTATGTATAATCCAATTATTTGGTTGAGTAAATATGTCCGCAACAACATATACCACTGTAAGATTAGAAGTTTTGTTAATCACAGTGCATTATTGCTGAAATATTTGACCTCCAAAACATTTATTTTGCATTGCAATGAGCTTCCATTTTCTAATTATGTAGGTTTAGTGACGAAACACTCTGAAACAACTTTTACCAGAAATTGTGTGATAACTTTGTTGTTGATATGCAATTAATTTTGTGGCGATTTGTTTCGGTTATCCGTCAATTTGCCTCACATGATTGAATCGCATTAGGTGACGAATCGTGAGAAATACAAATTTCCTCTCATTATGAATTTGTGGTGGACCAAACGATATATTATTTGAAATTATTAAAAAGTTATTGAATACAATAACTTCTATACGGAATATATCAGTTAAATGTTATGAACACAATACAAATGTATGAACGTCACTTAATGCGGCTGCTTGTAGGTGTTCGGTTGCGTTTGCTACCAAAAATCCACAATTATAGGAGATTAGTAATCCCAGTTATATGCTCCGTCGTAGAATAGGATATGAATATGACTGTAGTCTATAAATGTAGATAATATATGCATTAGAATCCAGATGACACCTTATTGAGCAATGCAGAACACGGAATATGTGTATAAAGTGTATTTATTAAGAGCAGACAGAGTATGTCGTGCAACAGAACGGAATGAGGTGAGTAGTCA